CGCGTCCTCTAGGCTAAAGAGCAGAGGGACCATCCAGCTTGTTATCAGAGGACAGTTCAAATGCCAGCATCTGTGATGGTATGGGGCGGCATTAGTGCCCATGGAAGGCACCATTAATGCTGAATGATATATACAGGTTCTGGAGCAACATATGCTGCCATCCAGTCTTTTTCAGAGAAGCCCTTGTATATTATAGCAAGACAATACATTCTGCCTGGATTACAACAGCATGGCTCCGATGTAGAAGAGTCCAAGTGCCTGACCGGCCAGCCTGCAATCCAGACCTGTCATCCATTGAAAACATTTGGTCGTCATGCAACAAGAATACAACAAAGGAGACCCTGAACTGTTGAGCAGTTGAAATCCTATATCAGGCAAGAATGGGACAACATTTCACTTTCAAAACTCCAGCAACTGATCTCCTCAGTTCCCAAACATTTACAGAATGTTGTTAAAAGAAGAGGTGATGCAACACAGTGGTAAACAAGCCCCTGTCCCAACTTTTTTGAAATGTGTTGCTGGCATCAAATTCAAATTAAGCACATATTTCCATAAAACAATAACATTTCTCAGTTTCAACATTTGCTGTGTTGTCTTTGTTCTATTTTCAGGTAAATATGGGTTTGTGTGATTTGTAAATGATTGCCTTCTGTTCTTATTTACATTTTACACAGCGTCACAACTATTTTGGAAGCAGGGTTGTGTACGGTCATGAAGTAGGAAAGCATGGTCTGCTTTGTGCTTATTTGTCCTGTTTTTTGTTCATAGGTAAGAGAGGAGTGGTGTGTGGTAGTGTTTGTGTGTTTGTGTATGTTTACAAGTGTTTTCAGTCCCACCAGATGCTAAGGCTGTTTACTGTGTGTCTTCTCTGTACAGATTGTCTTCTTCGTACATATACTCACTGTTGGTGCCTCATTCTTCACATCACCCTTACCTTCATTTATTTGCATATAAGTAAACATTCACTCAGACTCACTCAGGCTTTTTCTTAGGGGAGAACAATGACCAATCAGTGGACGGGGAGAGATCTCACCCGTGTTCCCTTACATTAATTGAAATCCGACCCGCAACAATGAAAGGCTGTAAACTTTGAAGACTGGTGTTGTCCACCCTCTGTGACATGGGGGTGGTGTGTAGCTTAGCCAGTTAGGACCCTGACTGGAAATTCACCAGTTCAAATCCTAGTGTCAGCAGAGTGATGTCATTATTGGGCCCTTGAGTGGGGCCCTTGAGTGAGGCCCTTAACCCCCAATTGCTCCAGAGGCTGGCTCTGCTCTATATAAAATGTACATTGCTTTGGGTAAAGCCATCTGCTAAATCAGTTTTTCTCAAACCAGTCCTCGGGGTGCACTGGACAGATCCGCATTTTTGTTTCATCCCGGTTTCCAGAACACCTGACCCAATCAATCAGATGCTCTAAATACCTTACAGGTGTACTGGGATAAAACAAAAAATGTGGATCCGTCCAGTGTGCCCCAAGCACTGGTTTGAGAAATACAACGAACTTTTGAACTATGCTGAACAAGACCAAAATGCAGGATAATGTAAAATTTTAGCTGGGCACATTTGTATTGCAATAAAATTAACTGGGTGTAACAGAGGAAATGGTTTCGATTTTGTTTCCTGTCAACACCCAGTCAAAGTCTCCCTTTGCAGCTTGTAATTTAGTCTTGTTTGATACCAGGGGGATAATCTAATGTAGTGTTTCTGAACCCAGTCCTCAGGCACCTGAACCAAACGATCAAGAATAAACTGAACGACCAAGAACAAACATTTGGAGGTTCCTGAGGACTGGGTTGAGAAATGCTACCTTAATCAGATCTCATTATTCTCCCTGAGCTGCAGCCCAAAGCTCTCCTACTGGGAAGCTAACCACCAGTCTGCCCCTCCCACGCCACCCCCCTCGCCCAGCCCGATGGCATCTCTTCACATCTTGTTTCCCTCGCCTTCTGCCCCCTTAGTGCCCACCGCCAGCATGACCCGTCTGGCACGTTCCCGAACCCACTCCACCTCCAGCATGGGCTCGGCAGAGGGGGCTCGGAGCCGCGCGCTCACCGACACGCTGCTGGAAGGGGGCGCCACAGTGGGCCACAACAACCAGGCCGCACCCCAGACCACAGAGGTGTCCTGCTAAACTTCCTACCAGCTCCCTCTCTCTCGCTCTCTCTCTCTCTCTTCCTCTCTCTTCAGTCTACCTGGAGGTACTTCCTTTTTCGCTTGATTCCTGCTACCCCTATCCTTTTTTTCCACTCTCTTCCTGAGTTCAAAGGCCTGGGACACATTTAAAGGAAGTTTGACAGAGGGAAATGAATCCATGCCTTTTCCCCACTAACTAAGTCTCAGCTTCTTATTTTCCGTGTATGCATGCCTGGTGTGGCAAGACAATAACAGGCCTTCGAAGTTTTTTGAAATTTTTTTCTTTGGCTTCTTTTGTCATCTTTTTTTGAGGGTTATGCTGTTTTGAAGTTGTACTTTTCTTTTGTACTAATGAGTCCTTATGTGTTTTCTTCTGACAGTAGGGTTTGGGGGCTGCCACAGTTCAGACATTGAGGTCTTCCTCGCTGTTGTACAGACCAGGCCAGACTTCCCTTAGTAATCTCGACCTTTCTTATTTGCATATATACCCTAATGTTCTTTTTCTTGCTTTTTTTTTTTTAAGTATCGTAGTGATTCGTGAACATACTTTGCCGACCGCATGTCCCTGTCGTAGAAGCAAGGTTACTACTTTGTATTTAAAGGGAAATGGTTCTGTTTGGTGATATTTTGGAGCATTTTTTTCTTGTCTATTTTTTTTTTTTTGTCGTTCAATTTTTGAGGACAGTCCAGAACCTTTTGCAAGTACACATATGACGTGCATAGCGGTACAAACTGGCACCATGTTAGTGGCGACGTTTCTGAGCACGTACGTGCATGCATGCAAAACCATCCACTGCATATTTACAAATTTCACCCTATTGCTCAGACCAAAAAAAAAAAAAAAAACAAAAAAAAACAAACCACAAGGGACAGCTTGTTACTTGTGTTTCAAATATTATCAGATTTCATAAAATGATGAAATAGTGAGGCATGCCACAGTCACCATAAGGGTACATAAACATCGCTCATTAAACGCCACCATGTCTGTACTGCATTAACCGAAACAACAGGAAATTCGCGCCACGACTTAAGTTGTAAAATTGTGGGCAGGATGAGGCCGGTCAACCTGTCTTGTTAAAACCTCTATATATTTTTAAGCGAAGTCTAGTATTTTTACAAAGCGCATCTTGACACATTATCTTGTAAGCGTGAACTGCGAATAAAAAATTTACGCGGCACAGCAAAGGCAACAGCAATTTCTCCTCTCCCTGGACTGTTCAATGTAAACAGTAACAGTAAGCTTTGTGGTAATCCCCATTACTAGTCTTACTTAATTTATGTGGTATTTGTTCATTTTTGTTTTATTTCGACACAACTCCTCTTGTGAATAATTAAATGGCTCTTTGGGGCATATTCCCTGCTATTCTTGGATGGATTTAATTTATTTTTTTTTGGATTTTAACATTGGTTTAACCCTGCTGTGATGCAGAAACGTAGTTCTGTCTCCTAAACAGGCAGCATTTTTTTCTCCATCTGTTTGCTGATTATTATAAAAATTTGAGAAAAATCATTTGTACCAATTATAAAAATAAACATAGCAGTTGTACATTATCGATGTGGATGTTCCCATTCTTGTCTCATACGGGTTCCAGAATAACTGACATAGCACTGTTTGTTTGCTGAGAAGATATTTTCCACCCACAACCATTTTCACACAAGCATATACTCTGGTGGTCAAGCTATTTTTAGCTCTGGTAGCATCTGATCCTGCCATTATGAAACAAAAGAACAAGACCAGATTCTTCATGAGACACCAGACTTGTCTGTTCTTTCCTTTCCACATGCATTGTGCTGATGTCGACTCATTTCTGCTTCCTCCTGAAATTACGATCATTAGCATCTAGGTGCACAATCTGATTGTTGTATTTTGCTAAGTGCTGCTGTTGTGGCAATTCATGGGCTACGGAGGAATAGAGGAGTTGAACTGGAACTGGACTCTTGAAATGTGCTGTGTGTTGCAGTGTAGAGTTCCATGAACAGAACTTTTTTTAAGTCTGTATAATAATTATGCTGGACCACACATGTTTGAAAAATTTGATGTTCTGCGGCATGGAGCCGTCTTCGTACAGCAATATTAGATATCAGATTGTCCCTAACAACAAAGGTTTGGAGGTTTAGGTGAAAAGCGATAATGTAGCTCATCATGCAGTATCGTTTTGATTTTGCTTCTCTGACAGTTAATGGGGGTCATTATGTAACAAAATACATATTTTGACCCAGAATTTTACACTGTACCTTAGAGTGCTTGTAGCATTTGTGTAAAACCAGTAAGCTGATGTTTATCTTTGCAGAAGCATTGCAACTTGTCGTTTGTCTATGATGCATAAATCACTTTATCGGAAGCTTCCTTCCCGCCGTGATATTTTGCAGCTTCGGAGGCTATCAATTTTGACGAACCCTGATTGCTATGATGGATAATAGAACACGAGATGGACACTGGAATGTAGTAACATAAGAAAACCAAACCAGGCTGTCATTACCCTAAACAAACAGGAGTTTATGTTATCAAGCCCTTTTCCACCCCAAGACATCATTTTAAATGGTTCTGATCCATTACACATGTCTGGTTCAGCCCCGTGCGTCAATCGTGGCGTCACAGGAAGTTGCCAGAACGCACGGCGCTTAAGAGTCCCCGCAGCTTTCAGTCCTCGCACCAGTACGCCTCCTGCGTCAACTTCACGAGGGGCTCTAACCGCCGAGCCTGCGCATGCACACGCTGCTGCTTCAAACGTGTGCTGTTACCCTCCCTCCAGTCCACGCTTTGCCCTTGTGCACCACTGCCTCAATGGGGGTCTTCAAGAAGCCCACGGAGATCTAGACAAGGGAGCATCATCAGTAGGAGCATGCAATGCAGTAAGTATGACATCTACCTATAAACCTGCAAATGTTTAATGGGCCTTTGTTGTCCTTTGGGTCTCAGAGGTTGCCTTGCCTATGATGATTCATTGAAATGAAGTCAGCATCTCTTGCATGTAAAATTGGTCTTTTTCAGTCACTGTGAAGAGAGTAAATGTCACTAATCAATATATCTGATGCATAATTTACATCATCAATCCATTTAGCTTGCATAGTCTGTCTTAACTAGCTAGTCTATACTGGAGATTCAATACGGAAACTGAAAGATCAGTACTTTTTACAACGGGAAGCAATAAGAAGATTTTGCACATCTGCTGTGCAGGTGATAGTGAGCTTACCCTTGCACAGCTATGCTCAGTCCTTGTCCCGCTTGAGCCCAATGCAGTCAAATCAATTCCTGAAGAGCTCTGTGACAGAACGTGGGTTCGCCATTGAACATGAATCAAATTTTGTGATTTGGAGCTTTATGGGTGCAGAATCTCAGTGTGGAAGATCACAAAACCTCACCAGTAAAAATTTGCATTTTCAGTTAGGCAAAATACAACCTTATTGCTAATTTCCTTTATGGGTGGACAAGTACAGCATTAGAGATCACAGATATTTCACTGTCTAGTATTCAGGTCATAGACTTTCAAATGCGCTATAATTGTATATTCACGGCAAATTTCGTCTGGTTACACACTACGGCCCACACTAAGTGACAGTCAGGAGTGAGCCTCAGTGAGAATGACTACAATCGGATCAGCTCTACACCAGACCCTCAAAGCTGGTGTTCAATGCATCTTTGGGGACATTTTAAAACTGGTTACTTGTTTGGTGTTCAGTATACATATCTGAATATTAATCCAAATGTTTTTGTTTGTGAAATGGGGTACACATGAACTTTCTGTTACTTTCAGTTAACAGAGATTCTTATCTGTATATTTGTGAGAAAAGTTGCTGAACCACTTGGAATGATGGATTTTTTTACGTGAAAACCTCCTAAAATGTGATGTTCATCCTAGTCAGAATAATTGCTAAAGACGGTATTTCTTAGCAAGTAATGCACACTGCATTTTACATTAACAAGAAAGAAAGGTATTTGATGTCAAAATATGCAAGCCTCTAGGATCATGAACTCTTGAAAACAGGGTAATAGGAGTCAGGCGTTCTGACCAGTTCAGTTGTGGATTTAACCTTCCCTACCATAATAAAAAAAACACATGGGTTTGGTTACCTGAACATCACAACAGAATTCTATTCAAATGCAACATGGCCCGATCAAAAGAAATTTCAGAGAAACACAGAAGTGCTGTTAACTCATAAAACAGTCCATCAGATAGTTTACAAATGGGAGCTTCAGACCGGCACAAATGATCCTCTCCTTAGGAGGGAGCTTCCTACAAAGGCCAGTTCACAGGCATCAAAAGTGATGAAGACCCCAAGGGTCACAGCAAAAGATCTGCAAGTGTCTTTTATACTTGATAACATCTGTGTTCATGAGTCTACCATAAGAGAAATGCTGAAAAGGATGGGTGCTCAAGCTAGATTACCACGGAAACCACTGCTCTCTAAAAGATAAAAAAAACAGCTGCTTGTCTGAGGACCACCTAGATGTTCTGCAGCTCTGCTGGAACAGTATTCTGCACAGAGATGAGGCAAAAGTGGAGCTTTTTTGGTAAATGTACTCGGTGTTAGGTTTCGAGAATGCAAAGCCCTAGACACCAGCAGCAAAATCTCATCCCAATTGTGGGGCAAAGAGTAGAGGGCTGTTTGGATGCTTTGCTGCATTGGGAATTGAATGGTTTGCAGTCATTAAATGCATTCAAAGTATCACGTAATTCTACAGCCAAACTATCAGGGTATCTGTCTAACATTCCAAAGAAGTTGGGTGATGTAGCATGACAAGGCATCGTGTTTTGATTTTGGTACATCAACTGACCTCAGCAAATAATTATTAAAAAATGAACAGCGTTTCATATAAGCTTGTATGAAATTGAAAAGGGAAAGGAATTCCAGGCTTAATTTGAAACAATGATCCATCAAGCTGTCTTCACAGCAGTCACCTATATCTCGAATATTTAGAGCGAATTTCCTTCTGCCCACAGACTCACAGGCAGATAACGAGTATGGCTGGAAATATGTTGGTGTATCGCAGCAGTAGTTTCTGACACCTTCCAGTCGTGTTATGACTGAAACGGAGACTGCCCCACGTTCAGAGATCCAGCGCAGCTTCTACTCTGATAGCTGATAGATCCAATATCTTCCCCGATGCTGGCAATTTTGAGTTGGCAGACCTTGGGTACATTTCCAGTAAAAAAGACATGAGATAACAAGGAAAACTAGTTGCTAGAATTTCGTCCTCATTGTTTCACAGAATAACACACGTGAATCTTTTGCATAACTAACTAATCGCACAGTATAATGGAACAAAAAATCTGCTTCACCTGATTTTTCTGCTATAAGACTCTTCTAGTAACCGGAACGTTATTACAATTAGATGACGTTTCGTAAAATGTTTACTCGAAAGCATGTAGGAATCTTGGTATTGTCGGGAATATTATGACCTCTGTTGGCCCAAAAACCTACTGCTGTTACCCTGTAAGTCCAGGTAAATGGTTTAAGAGGTCAAAAAAGACATAGCATGTGAGAAATCTTTATTTCTTTTCCAGCATGACAAACCGTAAAGTTGTACAGTGATAAAGAAAAAAAATTGGATCGATATGGGAAGCCATCCCAGCAAAGGAAGACGGAGGTCCAATGTGGTGGCCTCTCTACTGAATCAGGCAGGAGCCATGGAACCTGTTATACTGGGTAAGGTTTTCCTTGTCTGAGATCTGTTTTATCCCTCTGCAATTATTAATATGCATTATTAATATACAGTCCTTTATGATCTGATCTGATTATTTTGAGTACTATGTCTTTACGTTAAGGTTAATCAGCGCACAGAATTTTGGGTCATTTTGACCCTAACCCCTCAAGATCAGACGCAAATTAAACCCTTGAACGGCTGGCAGGCCTGACATTTGTCATTTCCTGATAAGGCCGTCACCTCCAACGTTCACCAATTTGTGCATTTCGTCAGGCCAAGATGAGGTCTTGACTATTGGCACTAACACACATTCACAGTCCAATTACGAAGGTGTTGGAAGTCCAACGTCTTTCGAGCTCTGGCTTTCAGTTAATTTTCTAAAATTAGCTCTAATTAAATTTTCAAAACCAGTTCAAATTCAGAAATGTATCCCTCTTGTCAGCAATAGAACATTCAAATTCTATTTAAATATACATACAGCTTTATGACAGATTATAACAGATTATAATAGTTATCAGAATTTAGAGCACTGTTATATAATTTGCTGCTTGAAAATTAGGATTTATCACTAGCAAGTATCTATTTGTATTTATATCTATAAAATCTATCTCTGCCATAAGCTGACTTTTTGCCTGTATATGTTTTCTCCACAGAAAATAACAGATATGTTGTGATATCTTTGTACAACTATCCAACTGAGGGACAATCAGACTGCAGTATCCGGGTTGGAGAGAGGCTCAATGTCCTATCAGAGTAAGAGGCGGAACGCAATGGCTGATGGGAAATAGCGCAAAACTTCATTGGAATATGTTCACAAACCATGTATATTCACATTCAGCTGATTCTCACAGCTAACAGACCCACAGATATTTGGTGAATGTGAATACTGATGTTCGCAAGCTTTTTATATATCCTGTAAACTGATGTTTTCCACACACAGAGAAGAAAAAAGAAGGCAGGCATAGCAAAACCAAATTCAGTATTATAAACTGAAAACCTAAATACTTCTCCCTAAAATACTACCTCCATATAGTCGTATATTCTTATGTTTTTATAGAGCTCAAGATAAATTCATTAGTTTTAAAGTTCTTTCATTTCATTTCTTTATTTCATTTTCATTTTGCTTCAGCGAAGGCGATTGGTGGAAGGTGAGCTCCTCAGCAACGGGCAGGGAAAGCTTCATCCCCTGCAGCTACATCGCCAAGGTGTTCCACAGGTGAGCTCCAGTGACACCTATGCTTTCCGGGTATCTCCAGTGGTTACCATGAGGACACTGAGGTCAAAGGTCCATGTGGGCAGAGTTACATGTATTGATCACTGGCTGAATTATGTCATTCCTCCCCCAGGTGGGTGGGGTTCAAACGCTTACAGTTGCGTTACTTTCCTTTGGAAGGGGTGTTTTCCTTGTTTGAACAGGAGGGCGGAGGCCCACCTTAAGATGTTCTTTTTCCGCCTGTGGGGTAGCTTGTTTCTCCTCTACGTCTACCTTCTTAGAATTTAACACCCCTCCCCCGTCTCCTCCATCTGTCTGACACATTCCAGGTGGCAGTTTGAAAGCATCAGCAGAGAGAAAGCGGAGGAGCTACTACTGCAACCTTACAACCAGATCGGCTCATTCATGATCCGGGACAGTCAAACTCACAGTGGTGAGTGCGTCTGCACCCAAACACACGCTGCGTCTCGGGGACCCAGTCTGTGGTGGTTTTCCACCTCCGCGGTACCTCTGAATTGGTTTCAGTCGTTCCCCAAATACTGATGTTCACGTCTTACCCAAAAGGACCTTTAGTGAAGATGAGTCGAAAATTCATCCTCACAGTTGCTTCAAACGGTAGATTAAAAGCCTTACGCGACCCTTTAAACTGGTCTTTCTTGGAAAATGGCGGGTAGACACAGGTGTACGAGTTTGCTCTTAACTGTTCAATGGCAAACGAAAAGCCACAAAAACCACAGGAACACGAAGCACCAGAAAACAGATCAACAAGCTAGAGAAAGCTTGCACACTCAGTGACTCACCTCGCCTTTTATACCAAATTTACCTGACTTTATTATCATTTTCCATTAATATTGTACTAATGCAGAATCAGTACTTCAGAACTTAAGGTGCAAATCTCATTACTTTGTAAATTGTGTAGTTTCCCATCAGAAATGCACCAACAAAAGTCTGATGCAACAGATACTTTCATTGCAGAATTTTGCAGAAACACATCTGCAGCCCCCAATAGGATTAAATAAACATCTGAAGTAATAAACTCCATGCATTTTCTTCACACCAGCATCAACCTCTAGGAGACTTATTTGATTACCAAAGGATCACAGGAAATGATGAACCTGAGTCAACATAACAGACAATTTGCTTTAACATGTTGACTATATATTCGGGCCAGACTGTAATTCGCTGCCGTGCCTCCTTGCAGGGGCCTACTCCCTGTCCATCAGACGGAGCACCGCATCCACCGTGGGGGCCGTGAAACACTACCGCATTCATCAGCTACAGAACGGCTGGTTCTACATCTCGCCCAGCCTCACGTTCTCCTCGCTCTCCCACCTAGTGGATCACTACTCCGGTAAGTGATTCATATTGATGCTGTATGATTCTAGTTTCACATCGCATTGATTACGGTGGCCTGGGGAGGGGGGGGGGGGACATTGCGCATGACTATATATGTTTGACTCTAAAATTGTTGATAAGTAAATTAAACAAGGTGCTAAAACTGTTTAGGAAAAAATGGAGGGAAAATCCTGCAGTACAACTCAAAATTTTATGCAAACATTCCAACCAACCCCTAATGTGCATGCAATGGTTTCTCTCATGCAGAGGTGGCAGATGGGCTCTGCTGTATGTTAAGGGAGCCGTGTTTCATCCAGGGCTCCAACAATGTCCCTGTCATGACTGGGCCCCAACCCATGGCTGTCAGAAAGCCCACCATCAACTGGAAAGACGTGGATAGGTGAGACCTTCCCTCCTCTCTCCCACTTAGCTAATGAACTGCTTAGGGTAGGACAGAAATCTAGCTCCATCCAGAAGTCATCTGCCGTATTGTTCAGTGCCTCTGTCTGTCTTTACACAGCTCCATGATCTTCAGCAGAGATGCAGAGACAAAGGAGGAGTCTCCAGTCAGCGAAGGGCTACGCGAGGCCATTACGTCGTACCTTTACATGACAGAGGAAATTAACTGTGAAGACTGCATTTCGGACTGGAAGACCTGATTTCACAACTGAGTAATAATCAAGAAAATTAAGAGACATTGATAGGAACAGAAATGTTACTGAAATGGAGATTGTCCCACGTTCAGAAACCCAGCAAACATCCAGCACGCTCCTTCTGAGTGGAGCTGTTTTCTTGCTCCCATGACTGAGAAGTGCCTTAATCACAGATATCAGGTCTTCAAATTGCAGGTCTGAGAGACTGAACATTCTGGGAAGTTCCTTTCGAATGGAAGGGGAACATGGAAGTCAAGGGCATAACTTTGGCTGGAACATTAGGGGGGTTGAGGTCTCCACCCATTACAGGGGAAACATAGTTATTGTGGGGGTTGTATTAGCTGGTTTTGATTTATTAAGGAGGGCTACAACCCCCCCATCCCCCCCGTAATTTATGCCCATGGTGGAAGTCACCGAACAGTTACATTAATGGAACATTCCATTACCTTCTCAGCTACAACGACTTAGATGTTGTACACCTACTGTACAAAATTGTGAATTCCTTCGCTTTCTTCCTTTGCTCTTGCCCATGTCTTATACTGACCTGTGCATACTCTACCATCCTCCTGAAGTGGATCCACACCAAGGCCCGCCATGAATCATTCACGCCGGGCCCCGGACAGTTCTCCAACTGTCCCCCCGAGACAGGCTTGCCGACACCCTCCCTCTTCTGAACCCAGAGGTCAAGTTCATGCCAGGGAGTGTTTTTGTTTTCTGAAATCTTGACTCTTGCAGTTTAGACACCATAAACATCTGATGCTCATCCAGATTTCTGTAAAGTACAAATTGGCTGGTATTATATTACTATTTTTATGATATTTGTATTAAATAAATTATTTTTATTGTTGTAATACTAACTGCTGAACTTGCACATGTAAGCTGTATTTTGTACTGTGATAGTGACCTGTTAGTTGTCCTGGTGATTGGGACATTTGCTCAGTAAATGAATTAAAACATGGTTTTATATCAGCAGGAATAGTTTTTTTTGTTGTAAAAAAAATCTATAGTAAAATTATACGCCTACACAAGACATTAAATTTACAGATACTCCAGCATCAACCATTTAAAGAAATCATTAATATAAAAAAAGAAAAAATATATCTGACAGAGTAATTCCCATCATAGTAAGTCAAGAAAAACAAGAAAAAGAATTGTTGAATTTAGTATGGATTCCCACACGATGGCGCATTCCCATTGACTGAATGTGTCAGTGATCTCTTTCCACACCGAATCCCAAATATTGCAAACTTTACTCTGTATCACAAATCAAAATATAAACAAAAATAAAAATGTGTTTTCATGGCAACAAGAGATACACAGTCCACAAGTACCAAGCATCCATTTCCTGTTCTGTCATCTATAGATGTGACAACCTCACAGAGAACAGGAAATGGTCAAAGTGCCATTCGCTGCAGCACCAGAATGGAAAATCTGACGTCAGAGGCTCAGTGAAACGGCGTGAACCCCCAGCCATGTTCCCCATGGTGCCTGGGATGGGCGCCGCGCCAGGCCACGAATCTACAGCCTCACTCACAGTTAGAGCCGTTTTTTGTAAAGAAAATAATGTTGGGAGCTACGTGACTGATTCAGGATTATATCAAGCAGTTTGGGGGGGCTGGGTGATGGCGATGAAATTTGTCCACCAGTGAGGGCGGAGGGAGGTGTGAAAGTCAAAGTGAAATACACATATAGAGTAGACAGAAAAACAATTACTGATCCATTTTCTAATAAGTGTATGAGCCACTCACTGCCTCTCTGTGAGTTACTTGAAGCTGAAGGACAGTGTGTTCTGTGACCCTGTCCAGTGTTAAGTGGGTGGAATGTGTTCACCCTGCTGTCTTTTATATTTCTGTAGGAGCCAAGTTTCCTGCTTTTTTTAGTTAGCATTCTTATTACTCTTTTCTGAAAGCATCTGTGTTAAGTAACTGCTGATCTGGCAGAATTCTTGCTTATGGGTGAATTTTCCCACAAAACATAAGAAGATGCACACTTCACACACCGGAGAACATACACTGAACTGTACTCATATCTTTGTGGGAACCATCCATTCATTTCTATGGGCAAAACCCTAATCCCAACAATGACAACCTTAAAGGTGGATGTATGCATAGCTTCAGGTAGATCTCTTGCCTCTCTGCTCCCTTTCTGGAAACTTTGCAAAAAGCCACTTTCCCACTGAAGTTCATGGCTCCTGGTGACTCCCAGCCTTCCTGACTGGGAATTTTTGTGGCTCCTGGTGCCAAGTTCCTGGGTCCTTCCTGACTGGGAACTTTTGTGGCTCCTGGTGCCAAGTTCCTGGGCCCTTCCTGACTGGGAACTTTTGTGGCTCCTGATGCCAAGTTCCTGGGCCCTTCCTGACTGGGAGCTTTTGTGGCTCCTGGTGCCAAGTTCCTGGGAAATTTTTGTGGTTCCTGGTGCCAAGTTCCTGGGCCCTTCCTGACTGGGAACTTTTGCGGCTCCTGGTGCCAAGTTCCTGGGCCCTTCCTGAATGGGAACTTGTGTGGCTCCTGGTGCCAAGTTCCTGGGCCCTTCCTGAACTGAGTGAAGGCTGCTCATCCCAGGTCCTGGGACCTTATCCCTGCAGGACGCTCGATTGCTAGGAGCAGTGGTGGTCATAAACTAGTTAATGTTAACGTTTGAAGCCTGGTGCATCTAGCAGTCAGAACATCTCATTTATATGGTGGCCCTGAAGTGCAAACACCCCGCCCCCCCAAAATGTAAAACATTTATTAGTAGCCCTAGTCTATTGTTGTGCATATTAGTCTATTGTTGTGCATGTCAGTCTATAGTTGTGCATAAATTACTATTTTGTAATGTCTTGTACTAGTCAAACTAATACAGCGCAGGAGTATGCACAACAATAGACTTATATGCACGCATGTTTACTTGTACATACACGCCCTTTCTGACAGTTTCCTTACCCCAGCAATGTCATTCCCTCATCTTATTAATGTATTTATACTCACACATATTTATACTGTTTAGTATAAACTAATACAGTCTTTTTGAACATTATGTTTTACAAGCATATGTAGCCTGTAGAACGCCAGGCATGGGAATGCCACTCAGTAGCTTGAACAAGTGCTCCATGGACTCCATTAGCAACAATTATGTACCGTTTGCTTATCTTACCTGAAGGTAGTTCAGAGGTGGGTTTAACATCAAGAATCTCTTTAAGCCCCTTACCACAACCAGTGCAAAATTTCGCCTGCAAGGTTTTGGGAATCTTTTTGCCACAACGAGGACAATACATCTTTGCATTTTTCTGAAACTATTCTTGGTTCACGTTCCTGTTATCTTCCTTCCTCTTAACGAGACAGACAGTGTGTCCGTCCAATCAGCGACTATCCTTGTCAAATACAAATGTACCAACCATTTCTGGTAGAAATTAATGTTGTGTTCAGCATCTAGGGAGCACATTTTTCATTTGGGGGATACACTTTGCATTTGGAGGCCATTTTCATTTGGAGGCCATTTTCATTTAAAAGCGCGTTTTTCATTTTTTGGGGGTGGGGTGGGCGGTGTTTGCACTTCATGGCCTCCATACATTTAACCCCCATAACAGTTTCTCTGACACAAATAACTATGGTGTCGTTAAGTTAACATTTTTATCACAAATGCTCCCACAATGTAATGTATATCTGATCCCCCCCCCACCCACACACACACACACACACACACACACACACACACACACAACTGTATCAGGGATTGAAAACTGGAGGTACAAGGTCACATCTCGCTCTGCTGAGCCACTGTACCACAGGTTGCCAATTGTCACACATCTTATATGTGACATTCACACTTTCAGACTCACATGCTCTTATGGCAAATCTACACTAGTGGTCAAAACTGCAGGATACTGGTACGATTAAAAAGGTAAATAAAGGAATAAAATTAATAGCCAATAACAGATTTGGTCATGATGACGATATTAACCTAGGAGCTAGACCCAACACATTTCTAAATCGGATTATTTGCTAACAAACGGAATTCTAATGATGCAGAAAGATTCTCAATCGCGTCATTGAGGCGGCTCGGCGTACATGTTTACATCCTACTTTGGCTTCTCTGCTGCGCTTGCAGGTCACGTCAAACTGAAACCAGGTTTTACGTTCAGTGAGTACGATCAAGCGTCGGGGCCACGACGAAAATGCTATTTTTATATCGCACGCGGTGCGCGTACTACTACGTTAGCATGTATTTGCCCCTGAAGGAGTCATATTTGCGTGTTGAATGTATTTCATTTTTCTGACCGGCTGATCAGGGATGCAGGGAAGGCAGATTTTAAATACATGTGGCAATAAATGTAAACGGCTGAATTCTTCCTCTGTCTATCTCTGCGTTATGTATATTATACTGGAAAAAATGAGGCGGTCTGCTTACCGTTGCTCTTTTATTCAACACTGATAGCAAAAAATGCACATCCTTGATGTCTTATATTCCCATGCAATATAATTTTGAATTAGACCTATGTATATATACTCGTTAATATTGCCCCCCTTTACAGAACACTAGTGACCTGAACTAATAAATAATTCAGAAAAATATACATAACTCGCTCCGTTACATAAGCAATGTCAGTCAGTGCAAGATAACCCACTGCTGTACATTCACCAGAACACAGCATGTAACTGCAACCGGGTCCAAAAAAAAAAAAGATTTCCAGTCTAAACAGTCAGTGTATAAGCGTTATGAGATTATTCATGTCTGTAATTTTCAATATATGCTTCAGGTTCTCCTAACAAGGAGGTGAGTTCTCTACACATTAGGGTTCTGGTTCAGTGACATGCACCTGCTCCCCGACACAACTGGTACAGGTACAGGAGATGATACTGTCTATCTAGGTATGACAAAACGTTTGCAGTTGGTATATAGTGTAAAGCAGTGCTTCTGAATCCATTCCTTGGGGACCCAGAGACAGTCCACGTTTTTGTTATATGAGTATGGTGTCCCTTACAGCAAGGCCCCTAAGCCCCAGCCCCACAGACGTCGCTACAGGTGGCTGCCCTTAGCTGCTCACCTACATGTGTGTCATGGAGTGGGGTAGGCGGAAAGAGAATTTCCTCACAGGGATCAGTATAGTGTGTAGTCAGTATAGTGTGTCCTGTACTTAGTACGTGTGTCCTGATTGATATTCTTATCAATAATATGCTGCTGGCTTGATTTACTGATGAACACCGCAAATTTCAAGTGAAACTATTAATAGCCTTCTATGCTATTTTTATAATATCTACAGGCTGTTTACACTGCAGTTTCCGATAAAGCTGCGTGTCACCACAAGCGAAAATAACTTGAAGTATGTAAGTAAAGCATACTCGTTTGTAGCCAAAAAAGAAAGGACACGTCTGTCATACTAGTAAAATATTGTTAAACGTGTGTCGTTTCTGAACAGTTTGATCCTTTTAAACGAATATTTTACGTAAAAGAGACGAATTCCGTCAATTCAGGTTATTCTTGTCGCTCTCGAACTTCTTTCACTCTGTAATTTCAATAAATGTTCCAGGTTCTCCTAGCAAGGTTCTCCACCTCTTTCACCCTCATGCGTTATCATGTACTTATGTAGCCATTGTGGCCAATACAATTCAAGGAACAGTAACGGGAATATAAAAATGAAATACAAAACATATATAATAAACAACTTTTATAATTAATAAACCCTAATTACGTAACATATGTAATTTTAAATACTGAAGCCGCCACTGACGGGGTAAATTAAAATTAAAAATGAATTTAAAAAACTGAAGCATTCAATTAATAATGTTTAAATAGCGCTCTATGTGTCAAACATGTTATAATACGTCAGCTGTGTCTCTGGCGCATGCGCAGTTTGTCCACTTCCTCTTTCGCCCAGCGCCTGCGCTTCTAGATGGTTTGCTAAAACATTTTATCCTCATTATTTCTGCTATTATTTGCGCTTATCTCGGTTCTTCATGATCAGATACCTGTGCGCAGTTTTTTGCGTCGTTCAAGTTCTTCTCGCTATCGGTCATGCCAAAAGAAAAGAGGACAGCGATCAGGAAATGGCACATTACAGGTCAGTAATAGTCAGTAATACCGGGTATCTAGACTGCTTGCTACAGTTAGTTTGGAAAGTAGGATTTTAGTACGTGACTGCAGTGTCATTTTAAGACTGAAAGAAAGCTGCAGCTCTGATTGGTTGATGTTGCTACTCGTTTCTGTGGTTGTAGGTTCGTGTTACCCCGGGCTCCTTGCAGACAGTTTGTCTGTGTGTATACAGTATGAGCAGGGATGCCAACTTTGGTCAGAGATTTTCAATTTGAGTCAAGTCTGCACACACATTCACACGCATTTACTTGTGTGTAACAGTTTTATTACCTTGTAAATAATCTGTAGGGTTTATAAACTACCCCAACGATTTTTAATTAAACTAATGTTAGGTTTATAATGGAATAATTTAGATTTGCCGTAAGGTTTCTTGCGTGAGCATGAGGGTCTGAAAGCGTGAGTGTCACGCCATATGCGGGAGAGCTGGCAACCCTGATATGACTCAGACAAGAAATCTTACGGCAAATCTATAATATTCCATTACAAACCTAAAATTAGCTATATCAACATATAGTATTAAAATAGTAATAATTAAGTGATACTAGACTGCAGAGAACTGCCATGCAAAATATGTGTAGAATAGTACAAATATTAGGTGTATTTTCTTTTCCGTGAACTCGGTTATATAGTAAATATGGAGCTCCACCTTCAGCTATTTTTGCCACTATTTTCCTACAGAGACAGAATAAAAGCCATGTTTTATCATGCCTACAACAATTATTTGGAAAACGCTTTTCCTTATGATGAGCTGCGACCTCTCACTTGTGACGGTCAGGACACCTGGGGCAGGTAACTTCTGGCTTCTACTCTGGTGATATCAAGAGAACTTGTAACTTTGGCTTTTAAGTACTGTAGGGCAGTGGTCTGCAACTGTGGTCCTGGAGAGCTACTATCCAGTAGGATATCTCTCCTTCCTGACATCCGATGAGAACTGGTATGGCTCATAATAAGCCAGGCAGGATAGAAAACCTGTTGGATAGTAGTCAATCCCCCAGGACCAGAGTTGGAGAGCCCTGCTGTAAGGCATCTCTTTAGGATGATGAAGTTGTTGCACTCTTTCCATCTACTGTTACAGCTTTTCCCTGACGTTAATAGATGCGCTGGACACTCTTCTGGTAAGCTTTTCATATTGGTAATTGCTTAAAAATTGAGGTTTGCATGGAACCAGACCTGACTTTTTTTCTGCACACATCCATCATTATTTTCTATGGTCTTGTCCTATTTAAATGGGTTCCTTTTGTGGTATTTTTTTTTAAATTAGATTTTAGGGAACCACACAGAGTTTCAGCGAGTGGCGTCCCTGTTGCAGAACACGATCGACTTTGACATTGATGTCAACGCATCTGTGTTTGAAACCAATATCCGAGGTGGGCCATGCAAAGATTGGGTTCCGCATTGATTCTCAAAGAAAATAGCAGTATTTTTTTCCCAGTAGTGTTTGCTTGAATAAGAACCCTAATTACGGCTAGGGTTTTTGGTGTAAGTGCTGAAGCCGTAGCTATGATCGTGTTAAAATATTGGACTGTGTGTGTATGTGTGTGTGTGTTTGTGTGTGTGCCCCTGCAGTGGTGGGTGGTCTCCTCTCTGCTCACTTGCTGTCCAAGCGAGCTGGTATGGAGGTGGAGACGGGCTGGCCCTGTTCCGGACCCCTACTGCGCATGGCGGAGGAAGCTGCCAGGAAGCTCCTTCCAGGTGAGTGGCATTGTTTGACCCTGGGCGCTACAGGAACGAGTCAGTCTGCTGGTCAGCTGGCAACAGCAATGACCAAAAACTTGCATATCTGGTGGTTTTCAATTGATAAGTCAGGCACATTTAACAAGTGACACACCAGCACAAGCAACAGTGATAACTGTAAAGTGAGAGTATATGTTTCTTTACTTTGTACGATGAAGCTCAGAAGTCATTCTCAAGTCTCAGTTTGCATATGATCAGAAGGTTGTTGGTTCAAATCCTGGCAGAGTGATTTCACCATTGGGCCCTTGAGCAAGGTCCCTAGCTCTTAATCCTCAGAGACTGGCTGATCCTGCCTTCTCAGTTGTACGTCGCTTTGGATGAAAGTGTCTCCAAAACAGATCTAAATGTGAAAGGGTACAACCAGGATGGGAATCCAAAGTGAGCCTTCCATTTCTGGAACCTTCCGCAGCTTTCCAGACACCCACAGGGATGCCGTACGGCACGGTGAACCTGCTGATGGGTGTGAGTCCCTCGGAGACGTCGGTGACCTGCACAGCCGGGGTGGGCACCTTCATCCTGGAGTTCGCCACACTAAGCCGGCTGACAGGCGACCCGGTCTTTGAAAACGTCGCCCGGCGGGCCCTGCTCTCTCTGTGGAAGACACGGTCAGACATAGGATTGGTGAGTCAGCCCAAAGCTCGTGATGTCCCGAGTTGAGCAAACAGGACAAAGAAAATCCTGCTGGGTGGAACATTAGAGGTGACGTGCGACATCTTCACGGTCTCCTCCATATCTACTCAGGTAGGCAACCACATAGATGTCATTACTTCCAAGTGGGTTGCACAGGATGCTGGGATTGGAGCAGGTGTGGACTCCTATTTCGAGTACCTGGTAAAGGGATCCATTATGCTGCAGGATGAGGAGCTGCTCTCGATGTTCTTAGGTAACCAAACAAGTTTTGTTTGCCATCTTAATGCATTTGCAGCCACGGACATTTCTCTGGAACTGAGTTTTTAAAGTTTTGTGAGTTTTGTCGTGGAAGGAATTTCCCAGTTCTGGGGAATACCAGGTGAAGCAGGTTCTCCAAAGACCATAGATGATGAGGGAACTTGGCAAGACCCATGGTGAAACAGTGGTTAGCGCTGTTGCCTGACACCTCTAGGACTGGGGGCGGAGGCTCCACCTTGGCTCCGAGCGTGTGCAATTTGTATGTTTTCGCCTTGTCATCATGGGGTTTCCATGGGTTTGTGCCCCATCCTGGGTTATTCCCAGCTTTGCGCCTGTAGGTTCCAGAATAGGCAACAAACCCCTCGATCTTGCATGGAACGACCAGGTACAGAAAATGGAAAGATGTGTAATTGTTTTGTTATTGTATTCCCATATTCCACAGAGTATAACAAGTCGATTAAGAACTACACCAAATTCGATGACTGGTACCTGTGGGTCCAGATGCACAAAGGCACGGTATCCATGCCTGTCTTCCAGTCTCTGGAGGCTTTCTGGCCAGGATTGCAGGTGAGCAGCACAGTAGCACAGACTGGGAATGGACCACCTAGAGGCAGGGCCGTATGACCAGCCGAAAAATAGACTCTAATTGGTGAATAAGCAGCAGTGGGAGCCCCGAGTCCCATTCGTGTTGAGATTCTGCATTGCCTCACTCACACAGCTGTCTGTGTGGCTCTGTGTCCGTGTGTCAGAGCCTGCTGGGTGACCTGGACAGCGCCATGAGGACATTTCACAACTATTACAGCGTGTGGCGGCAGTTCGGCGGGCTGCCTGAGTTCTACAGCATCCCCCAGGGGTACACCGTGGATAAGCGAGAGGGCTACCCCCTGAGGCCAGGTACTCTCACCGAGGCCACAGCAACACATCACCTGATCAGTCCACCCAGGTCACCTGATCAGTCCACCCAGGTCACCTGATCAATCCACCCGGGTCACCTGATTAATAACAAAACAATCTATGAAATGAAAGTTTTAAGTAATGTTTTGATGTTGGAAATTCAAATGTTGTTTTTCATCTATAATCAAAGACCAAAACTGTTATTTTAGATGCAGAAATCAGGTGGTAAAGTGTCATGTATATATTACATCATGTCTTAGTATTTATATTCTTATATTCTATATTTATTCACAATACGACCAACGAGAATGACATGTCAGCTTAGTGCTTGATTCATCGCGTTATGTATGAGAAGCTGACCTTACAAGATACTTGACTTAAAGAAAATGCCATTTGCTTAACTTTTTTGTTTAAGTGAATTTTAGGTGAATTGCGTGTGAAACATTTTTGTTCCAGGGCACTGACCTAATTGAATGTACCCTTGAACCTGGGAAAATATGAGTCACATCCCTCACCAGTCGTGAGAACTTGGGTATGTTGAGTTAATGAGTTTTTACTTTCTTGTGCGTTCGGTTGCAGAGCTGATAGAGAGCGCCATGTATCTGTACCGGGCCACGGGTGACCCTGCCGTCCTGCAGCTCGGCCGTGATGCAGTGGAGTCCATCGAGAAGGTCAGCCGCGTCAGCTGCGGCTTTGCCAGTGTGAGTGTTCCGGAGCTGCGAGCGGTGAAACCACACAACATGAACTCCTAAAACTCAACACAGTCATCCTTTGACTGTGGATTATTATCCGCCATCCACATTGTTGTAAACTTATTGTATAGATTTTTACACACTGTATTCCAACATTCCTTGCATTGACGTGCCCCTCTGTACTTCATATATTTTTATCAGTCACGCTTCACTTAACGACTGAGTTCCGATCTACGGCAAGGTCGTTAAGATTGGAGAGTTGGTCATAAGTCTGCACAGATATTAAACAGGCAGGTGAAGTGAGGAGTGTCTGTATATCAACTGTACTCAATGTGACCATTGTCATAACTCTATATCTACTGGACAACCAGGAGCAAACTCCCTATGTGTGTGAACAGACTTAAACCTTTTTTGATGCTATTTAACTGCTACAGTTTCAACAAAGATAGTTGGGTGGTCCGATCCCGTTTTCAGCAATATGTTTCCGTCCATTTCTTCTTTTCCTAGGTGAAGGACGTCCGAGATCACAAACTGGATAACCGCATGGAGTCCTTCTTCTTGGCGGAGACCGTGAAGTACCTCTATCTCCTCTTCGACCCGGACAACTTTCTGCACAACGGTGGCTTGGATTTTGAGACGGGCACGGGCCCCCAGAGTGACTGTGTCCTGGGTGCGGGGGGCTACGTTTATAACACTGAGGCCCACCCCTTGGACCCGGCTGCTCTGCACTGCTGCAGCCAGGCGCACGGCGAGCGGCGAGAGCTGCAGGACATCCTGCTGAACCTGTCCGAGTCCCTCCATCCGCCACCAGCAACGCAGCCGGAAGAGTCTACAGGAGACGCACCCACAAACTTTCCCGAAAGCATCGCGATCAAACCCGGAAGCAGGAGGAAAGTCCCCCTGCTGTCTTGTCCCATGCAGCCATTCAGTTCCCGGCTTTCCATCTTGGGCCAGGTCTTCTCCGACAGCACGTGACTGTTTATCCACTTTATTAGCATAATTTTAATGACAACCAAAATAAAGCTTTTAATTTATTGAAATGCATGTCTCAGACTGCTTTAATTCCCGATTCATTATATTGATATGAACTAAAATGAAAGCTTGAATGACCAGAAACATAAACATCCATTTCACTACCCAAGCAGTTAGCTGCAGATGATAGCGCCTGCCTGGGATTATTTCCATACAGTAACTTCATGCACGATTATAAAGGCTAATTTTAGGGTTTGGCACTTTGTGCTACAGTTTGTGGGAGGAAATTACCACGCTGATCGTGAGAAACTGTTCAGATTTGCTCACTGATAAGGAAAAACAGCTTATCATGTTTCTCGGAGGGGACTGTCTGTTTTATGGAGAGTGGTACACTAACTGTTCCAGTACTGCTTTCACATATATATATATACCTGGACATTTACTGGAAGCTCAGCCTAGCTGCATTTATAGCTATTTATAGTTATAGGCATTTTTCTGTAATGTATTATTGGCCTTAGTATGCTTAGTATGCATCTTACATGTCTGTTTTCAACTACTAATTATTATTATTTTAGAATTAAGTTATTCTCGTTTATTGTTATATTTTTTATTAAATGTTCTGTTTTTTTTCTTCTTTTTTTTGCATTGCATATTTCCTTTTTCAAATTCAAATTTTATTTGTCACATACCAATCATACACAGTGTAACTTGCAGTGAAATGTTATTTTTCAATGCTGTGTGGCATTAAACAACAAAGGGGTACAATGTATCAGCGTTAGACAGGGTTAGAAAAAAATACACATAGGAATCTAACAGCTGTCATAAAGTACAGATGTGAAGTTATAGTAGTGTGTATAAAGTAGTATAAAGCAGTGCAACAGCGAGCAGAGGTAGTTCTATAAGTAACAAATTTGTAATGGGGGGGGGGGGGGGGGGG